TGTTGTTTTGTGTAATTTTGTCTTTTTTTAAATTCTAATTTCATCTTACTGGTTTCTTATGAAGGAAAGATAAATCTGGCCAATACCTATTAGTCCACATTGGCATGAAAAATAATTTCTGTAGAATAATAAAGCTAGAAAAAATTGAAAAGAGTTAACGAGGATAGAGAGAAAATGGGAGTTGAGAACGTTTTTAAAAGAAGTTTGGGAAGTACAGGGCCAGAGAGAGCTCTGCTTCTGAGTGTAGAGAAGACAGGAACAAACTTTTCCATTGATTTATTTTGTGCCTGTGGAAATTTTTGACATATTTAAGTGGAGGGGAAGGGGTCAGTGGAGAGGAAATAACTTCTGGCAGAAGAAGGTAGAATCAAAAACCTAAATGGGAATTAGCCTTTAAGGGAGCAGAGGGCCAGGAAAATCAACACTTGGCACTTTGCAAGTTTTTAATTTAAGCTTGTCAATAATTTTGTAGGATCAGCATTAACCTTTATTAAAAATGAGGAAACAGGTGACAAGGAAGGTGTAAGGAAGGTTACCTAAATTAACCAAGCTGCTAATTAGTGGTAAAGCTGACCCTAAAGCTCATGTATTTTCTAGTGGTTTGTGAGGCCCTCTTGGCTATTTCTTCCTTCAGAGCTTGGAGGAGAAAGGCTGGTGACGGTTTAGTTATAGTTGGAGTAAAGAGAGAGGAGAGTGATATAACCATCGTAATTATAGAGTTTACATTCATGTCTGCTCTTATGCAGGAAAATACGGGGAAGATAGCCAGAAGAGTACATTACAGTCACAAAGACATTGTATAAGATAGTTCTCTGGAAGCATTTCTCCTACTTATGGGTTTACTCTGTTACATGAGTCTTGTTTCATCACCAAATATGCAGATTTTTACCTTTTATTATGTCTTCATACACAAATAGTAAGCTTAGTAAGAAAAAGGAAGACAGCTCAGTTAGTGGAAGTTAAGTGGCCCAAGAATTGCCCTTTATTTCTAAGTTACTGTTCCTTGCTTCTCCTTCCCCTTTAAAAAAATTTAATGTACTTACATAAACATTAGGTTGAATCAATTTTAGCTGGTGTCGAAAAAGCTGAATATTGGCAATTTCATGTAATTTAATATAATAGTATGTTTTGAAAGGACAAGAAGTGGTAGTGAATATCATTGTTAATATCAATAATGTGAACCAATCTTCTTTATTCACAAAGTACATGCCCAAACCAAATCCAGGGTCTGGCACATAGTAGATGCATTAGTGAGTTTTTCATAACTATAACAAATTCCTAAAAGGAGCTTCTCAAGAAGAGAGGAGGTTTATTTTCAGTCACAGTTTTGGAGGTCCACAGTCCAGATTGGATGACCCCATTGGTTGGGTGTCTGATGGAGACTGGCAATGGCGTAACGTGTGCAGAACACCACATATAGATCAGGAAGCAGAGAGACCAGTTAGGTCCAACTTTGCTTTTATAACCAATCCTCCCAAGAAATACTTTCCCAGGGCATGCCCAGGGACCTAAAGAATTCCTATTGGGCTACCTCCTGTACTCCATAATTAGACTTCAGTCTCCACCGGTAATCCTTTAATCTTAATCCATTAACCATTAACAGAAGACTTTGGGGACCAAGCCTCATGAACATGGGCCTTGGGGGAAACACCCATACTATTTCCCAACTCATAGCAGTAGACACTGAGTAAGTAATTTATCAATTAAACACTAAATATTTTTAAGGCTCTTTGAGGATTTCATATTTTACCTGCACAAAGCTATAGTTTTGAAGTTTTCTGAGTATCTGAGGGAAAAATCCCTGCTTGTTAAACCTTCAGTTCTTTTTAAAAGACAAAAGGGATAGGGATTTTTCAGCAATGCTCTTTTGTTTCCAATACATGATAACATTAAATTTAAAGTATTTACTACTTGGCCTTCTCTGTAAAAGATTCCTCTTCAACTATTGTAAAGATCTAAGCAGAGATTAGACCCTCCCTGCCCCTCCTCCTTTTCTTGAGAGAGTGAAAGAGCTCTGTCACTTTCTGGACACTGCTTGTCTCTCTGCATTGCTCTGTCTCCCACTTTCATGGTAAAGAGATTAACAAAAATTAAAATATTTCTTTACTTACTTGGAATCAGCTATTTTCTGAACACCACACAGCTTTTACAAAATGAGAAGCATGGGGGCTGGCGCTGTGGCGCAGCGGGTTACACCCTGGCCTGAAGTGCTGGCATCCCATATGGGTGCGGGTTCTAGTCCCGGCTGCTGCTCTTCCGATCCAGCTCTCTGCTATGGACTGGGAAAGCAGTGGAGGATGGCCAAAGTCCTTGGGCCCCTGCACCTGCGTGGGAGACCCGAAAGTAGCTCCTGGCTCCTGGCTTTGGATCGGCACAGCTCTGGCTGTTGTGGCCATCTGGGGAGTGAACCAGTGGATGGAAGACCTCTCTCTCTGTCTCTACCTCTCTCTGTAACTCTTTCAAATAAATAGAATAAATCTTTAAAAACAACAACAACAAAAACAAAATGGGAAGCATATCCTATTCTCATTTTATGTTCTAATAATTAATAAGAACTAATATAATTTTCTTACTGTATCATGGTTTCTTAACAACGGCTTTCTATATCCACATTTTTGCAAATGAACTATTATAATACGAAGTTAGAAAGCCTATGATCTGTTCAGCATTATCCAGTGGTCTTTGCACAAATATGAAGAAAATATTATTGTATTATTTCTGATGCTACTGCTTTGGACTGTTATGTTGCCATGTACATTCCCTGCAGTTTACATTTCATCCACACAGTGGTGCTAGTAAACAAAAAATTGATACTTTCCTCCAAGTCAACAGAATCTGAATTTCTGACTGTTCTTAGAAAATAAACACTTTCTCGAGTTTTTTTAACCTCTATGAACTGTATCATAAAATGATGATTTTACTTCTAAAGTATCTTCAAACTTTAATTATCCCTCACTTGGAGACTGCAATAGATCACTAATGAATAAATTTTCCAAGTTGTTGTTAATTGGTACTCTTTATAAACTAAAGTCTGACCTTTACTCTCCCACATAAACACTGTTAATGAATTCTTTTTTTTTTTTTTTTTTAATTTTTTTGACAGGCAGAGTGGACAGTGAGAGAGACAGAGAGAAAGGTCTTCCTTTTGCCATTGGTTCACCCTGCAATGGCCGCTGCGTCCGGCGCACCGCGCTGATCTGAAGGCAGGAGCCAGGTGCTTCTCCTGGTCTCCCATGAGGTGCAGGGCCCAAGCACTTGGGCCATCCTCCATTGCACTCCTGGGCCACAGCAGAGAGCTGGACAGGAAGAGGAGGGACCGGGTCAGAATCCGGCGTCCCGATTGGGACTAGAACCCAGTGTGCCGGCACCACAGGCAGAGGATTAGCCTATTGAGCCGCAGTGCCGGCCAATGAATTCTTATTACATTGAATTTATCAATAAAAATAAAGCAAAACCTTTCATCAAAGCCTCGATCTAACTCGTTAGTGTCATTCATCTGCAGCCTTTCCTTGTGTAATTCCCCTTGTTGCTGTATACTTCATTCCGTGTTCTCTTCTTTTGGTTCCTTGAACACAGATTTTTCTTCTTATTTTAGTTCATTTTTTCTTTTTTTTCCTGCAATAAGTAGAGGAGTGTGTATAAGTATTTGTCATCCATAATTAATTCTTTCTTATGTTTTGTTATCTTGGTGTAATCTTTGGGAAGTTTTCATAAATTTCCCTGAATGGACCAGCTCTCTGTTATGAGTTCTCATAGCATTTAGAAATATTTCCCTGTAACATCACAGTTTAATTGTGCAAAACTCATTATGTAAAAGTTATATATATATAATTGACTAAAGTCTGTTTCCTCTGTACTGTTTGCTTATCACTGTATTACAGATTTCTATTCAAATATTTGCTGAATAAATATATCAGGGGTGATAAATATTAGATGTCATCTAAGAGACCCACAGTCCCACATGAGAGTACCTAGGTTTAATTTCCAGCTCCAGCTCTAGACTCCAACTTCCTGCTGATGCAGATCCTGGGAAGTAGCAGTGATGGCTCAAGTAATTGGGAGACCTGAATCGAGTTCCTGACTTTGGCCCTGGCCCAGCCTCAACTTTTGTGAGCATTTGAGGAGTGAAGCAGGATATAGAACCAAAAAGTCAGCCAGCTAGGACTCAAGGCAGGTACAGGAAGTAGAAACAGGTGAGAATTCTGGGAAAACAAGAAAACAGTTGCAATCAGAATGCCATAAAATGAATTTTATGTTAAAGTGACATTTTAGGCTAGCATAGGTCCACTTAAATATTTCCTTGCTGAAGCAGAAAATAGTTCTAGATCTTGGGCAGCTCTGAGCTGTAAGAGTTCTTATCTGCCTGGAAGAGCAGGAAGAGTGGGAGATAGAGGTCACGATTAGCAAATTTAAAATCAAGGAAGCAGCTGATGCCTTAGTGGCGATAGCCCTGTTCTATAAGTAGGAGACCTTGCTTCTGTTCCAGCAGTGATACTGTTTTGTTCTGTACCCTTGGAAACAATATGGTATGACATTAGAAGAGTCACCACTTAGGTTTGCATTTATTTCCATAACTTTATAATGAGATAATAAAATATTCTGTTCATTTCTTAATGTGTGATAAAAATTCATTAGATAATAGAGCTAAAAAAATTTGGAAAGTATAGAAATGCTTTATAACTTGGGCTTATTTACTCAGAAGAGAGGAAAGCCTTCATTTTTAGTATTTTCATTTTCTTTTCTCATTAAGTAAGAGGTTTCTAAAAGAAAAGATGGCTATGGAATGGAAATTCCTATCTCCTATAACCATTATATATATTCTAAGTTCTTAGAGAGTACAGCCTTAAACACGGTGCCTAGTCAGTACCTTGAAATATTTTTACATAAATCATACAGTGAATTATCCTGAAGGCCTTTCTGATTGTCATTCTTTGGTTTCTTGGCCTTATACACATTCTACAGAAAGTAATGATTTGATCTTGATTTTTTTTTAATTTCAGCTGTGGCAGAAGTAAAACTTCGTGATGATCAGTATACGCTGGAACACATGCATGCTTTTGGAATGTATAATTACCTACACTGTGACTCGTGGAATCAAGACAGTGTCTACTACATTGATAACCTTGGAAGAATTATGAATTTAACAGTGATGTTGGTGAGACAAACATAATAGGGTTTTTTTTTTCTCTAGTAAATTTAATTTTTAAATTTCTCTTTGAATCTGATGTTGAGAGTTAACACAATGTGTCTTTAATATATGGAATCCTGTCATTCGGCACAGTAAGACTGCATTTCTACTCAGTTTTTGCTTGGCGATTCCCCTCCAGCCATTGGTGGAATTTTATGTATCAGTGTCGATATAATGTTCATGCTTGCTTTTCCTATTTGAGGTATTATTCCCAACTGTAATAGTGCATTTATCTTTGTTTTGTCTCTTGAATTTTATTTTTTGCTTATGCAGGTTTTATCTATGCAAATTGGATGCAAGTAGTTAGGATTGTTTTTCTATTATGAATGGATCCTTTCAGCATTATGAAATGCCCCTCTTTAGGCTCTGAGAAATTTTGTTGATTAATATTAATTTTTTCCTATCCTTTTTCTTTCAGTTTGTCAGTGCTCTTATTTTTAAAATATCCATTTATAAAGAGCATAAAATGGGTCTTACTATGTGCTTTATCTTGTTTGCTGATATTTAATATAATTATTAATATTAATATTTTTGGGTTTATGTTACCATCTTGCTGTTTCTTTTCAATGTGTCCAGTTGGTTTCTGTTTCCAACTTTTTGAGGGGATCACTCAATTTTTTTTTATAATTCCATTTAATTTTCTCCATAGGTTTTTTTTTTATCTAAATCTGTCTTATTTTTTAATAGTTAATGTAAAGAGGACCGTATTCTTCCTTAACTAATAAAGTGTCTTTAATATTATTTCATTTAACAAACTATAAACACTTCAGAGTAACATAATTGCTTTTACTTCCCCTCTCACTCTGATCTATTTTTGGCGTTTATTTTACTTCTTCATTCCTTGTGAGTTCCACAATAGATTGTTAATGTATTTGCTTTATATAGCCAGTAGTCTGCTGATGGCTTCCTTTCTGTTCTCTGCTCCTTCCAGCTTCCTGCACCTTGCATGTAGAATAGTCTGTCTAAAGTTTGCTTGTCTGTTTTTAAAAAATACCTTTGGTTAAATTGTTTAACATGTCATTTGTGACCAAATGCACACTTTTTAAATGTTCAGTCTTAGAGTAGGTAAAGTGTTGATGTTATTTAGAAAAACAAACTAGAAAAGGAATTTTATGTTTGCCTGACTCCATCTTATAGGTAACTATTAGGTAATCTTATAGGTAACAGAATAGGTAACTATTCTGTCTTGAGTACTCTTTTCTCTGCAGTTTCTTTTATTAGCTTCTTGCTAGTCCTTCCAGTGTTGATGAGGGATTTTTTGTTTTTCCCCATATGAATGCAAAGTGATGCATTTTCTTAAAATATAAACCTTTCTTCTCGATAGATATGTACAGTTCATACTGCCTTTCTCTCCAGTGTTGTTTTCTAGCACTTAGTACACTACAATCGAGCAATACTAAACTCTTGCAATTCCTGAGACATGCTCTATATGCTGTAGCTTCCACACCTTTCCCCATACGATTAACTCTGTAGAACATTCTCCCTGGTCAGGCTGTTTCCTCCATCTTCACTTCAGTACCAGTTAACCATTTCTTTATCTAGGAAGCTTGCCCTGAAATCTTCCTGCTGCTCCTTTAGGAATAACTACACCACTGACTCACAGATCTGTGTGGATTGTGAACTCCCTCCAGGCCAGAGGTTGCCAAAAACTTTTCCTACGTAGGGTATTAAAGGCTATGTAAGTCAGGCAATCCTCTCATTTTAACCATTGTAGTGTGAAAGCTGCAAGACTGAATTGATGAGTGTGCCTGTGTTTCAATAAAACTTTATTTACAGAATCAGTTATTTACAAACTTGAAAATTAGCTTGTGGATTGTAGTATGCTGAGCTGTGGATTAGGCCATGGCTTTGTCTTATCTTTCTATAATCCCAATATCCAGCAGAAAGGTGGTCAGTGCATTTACTAAATGGATAATAGCTCCTTAGAGCTTTTTTCTTACTCTTGAGAATTGGTTTTGCATTCTTGATGGGATCTTCCTCCTGTTGTTTCCAATCCAGCTACAGGTATGTTCTAATTGGTGACACAGTGTTTATTTAAAAACATTGGGGAAGAAAAGTTAGGTGTTTTCTGGCAATGATAAACATTTCCACCAGGTGGACCCAGATACTAAAGCATATCAATGAACAAATAAATTCTGATTGTTTCTTGCTAGAGCAGGGGGGGATATAATCTGACCTCTTGTTCCTTTAAGGATTGTTTTTTCTTGTTAGATACATCCTCTGAATGACTCTTACTGGCCTGATGTGTATAAGCTAGCTAAAGTAATAGGACATGTGTGTTTATTAGTGGCTATACTTTGATGTGATGTAGAGTTGTGTGTATGTGTGTGTATTTCTAAGTTTTCCTTTACTCTTTTTCATTAACAAATATGGCTGTTGGAAGCATGCATTATTCCCTAAAGTTTTCCAATAAAATGTTTTCTAACTCAGGAAGACAGATGATATCATGTTAGATCTGAACATGTTTATATTTGTGGTATTATATTCAAAATTTTATTTTACTTTTCCATGGGTATCTTGTGGCATGTCATGCAGATCCAACACCTACTGTTGTGGAGTAAGGTGGTTAGTAGAAAGCTAATTGGACATTCAAGTCAGAGTTGCCAGATTTATTTTCACATGTTTATTGAGAACCATCTCACTATAGGACAGTGGGACATATATTTTGCTACTTAGATCTTACCCTTTTTAGGTGCTATGATTAGATGAATGCATGGGTAACTGTTACATGGTTATAGCAGGCCCCCTACATATTCTTGGTTTCAGTTTCCTCATATAAGGTAAGAATGATAAGCTTTATGAAAAATAAGGTATGTGTAATGCTTTGTAAAGTGAAAGGCATTATTCAAATATAGAGTATTACTATACAGGTATTACTAGGCTATCTTAAACCCAGGCATAGAGATGTAACTTGTCTAAATCAAACAGCTAATGGAGGGCAGAGTCCAGTGTGAAATGGTGTCTTCCAGTGTGCCACAGTGTTTACACATTTTTATTGTTGGTTAATAGACACATTTTAGCAAAGTAAACAAGATTATGTGGTGTTCTCCAAGGGATGAAGTGCCCTTTGATCCTGCTGAACTGTTTAAAAAAAGAAAAAAATCCATCTTAAGTATTTTTCTGAATGTTAAATTCTTTATCTTCCTCCTAATCTTAGAAATAAACTGGATTAATATGCAATAGGCTAGTATGAACTAAATGTAGTTTATAGTTGAAGATGCATTTGCCCATAGTATGTTGATAAATGTTGAACAACTGACTCTCTGGGAAGGGAATGGGAGGTTGATTCATAGAGTTTACAAATTTCTGAGATGTAAAATATTTCTACGACCGGTGCTGTGGCATAGTGGGTAAAGCCACCACCTGCAGCTCCAGCATCCCATATGGGTGCTGGTTCGAGTCTCAGCTGCTCCACTTCCATCCAGATTTCTGCTATGGCCTGGGTAAACAGTAGAAGATGGCCCAAGTCTTTGGGCTCCTGCACCCGTGTGGGACACCTGGAAGAAGCTTCTGGCTTCTCATGGGTACAGCTCCAGCTGTTGCAGCCATCTGGGGAGTGAACCAGAGGATGGAAGATACCTTTCTCTCTCTCTCTCTCTCTCTCTCTCTCTCTCTCTCTCTGCCTCTGTGTAACTCTGCCTTTCAAATAAAATAAAATAAAAGAAAAATATTTCCAACAAGGCTAATTTCAAGTTACCAATTGCAGAATTCCTGGGAATATAATACTTGACTTCCCTGAGGCATTTGGAGTTGGCTTTAGCATGTAATTATATTTGCTAGAACTAAGTAAGTTAAAGGATGGAAAAGGAGAAACTGAAGAGTGAAATGGTACTTTTATCTCATTTAAATTTGAGGGATGGTCACCTGCTTTTTTTTTTTTTTTTAATTTTAATTTAAATTTTTTTTTTTTTTGACAGGCAGAGTGGACAGTGAGAGAGAGAGACAGAGAGAAAGGTCTTCCTTTTGCCGTTGGTTCACCCTCCAATGGCCGCCGCAGCCGGCACGCTGTGGCTGGCGCACCGCGCTGATCCGAAGGCAGGAGCCAGGTGCTTCTCCTGGTCTCCCATGGGGTGAAGGGCCCAAGCACTTGGGCCATCCTCCACTGCCTTCCCTGGCCACAGCAGAGAGCTGGCCTGGAAGAGGGGCAACCAGGACAGAATCCAGTGACCTGACCGGGTCTAGAACCTGGTGTGCCCGTGCTGCTAGGCGGAGGATTAGCCTATTGAGCCGCGGCACTGGCTAATTTTAATTTTTTTTTACCTTTCCTCACTTTTTACAATACTGATTATTGTTTTGTTTTATTTTCAAAGAAAAAAGAGTAAAGTAGATTTGAAAGTAGGAAAACAGAAAACTTTCTCACTAGAATTCCTTTTGGGGAAAAAATAGAAACCTTTGGTCTTAGAGATCAGACTAATATTGGACTACTTATAGTAGTAACACAGTGTGTTGAGCTCATTATTTAAGGATATTATGGAATTATTACTTTAAAAAAAATTTTTTTATTTGAAAGAGTTACAGAGAGAGGTAGAGCCAGAGAGAGAGAGGTCTTCCATTCTGCTGGTTTGCTTCCCAAATGACTGCAATGGCCAAAGCTGAGCTCATTTGAAGCCAGGAGCCAGGAGCTTCTTCCAGGTCTCCCAAGCAGGTGCAGGGTCCCCAGGACTTGGGCCAGCTTCCACTGCTTTTCAGGGCATAGCAGAGAGCTGGATCGGAAGAGGAGCAGCTGGGACTTGAACCAGCGTGCATATGGGATGCCGGCACTGCAGGCCAGGGCTTTAACTCTATTACTGGAACTGGGTGATGGGTGTGTGAGATTCATTATATATTTTTTCTACCTATTTTAGTATATGTTTGCAATTTTTCATATGAAAAAAATAAAAACAATTACAAAAGGAAAATATATGTCTCCTTCCTGTTTAGACTTCTTCCAAGAGACAAGGGAGTACTGTATTGGAGCAGAAACACTT